TGACAGGCGACGCTTATCTGCAATTGTTGCGGCTGTGTAAAGACAACAACAGCAACAAACTGGGCTGACTTGGCTTTTTTTATTTGTTGTGCAACTACTGAGTGCGTGTGTGTGTGTGTGCGTGTGCCTGTCTGCTTCTTCTTCATTTTCTGGCAGCAGCAACAACAATGGGAAAGCAGTAGAAATTATGTTGCGTGACGTTTCATTTTGCACAAAGACTGTAATTGGTAGCCGCGTTCCGCGCACCGCGCACCGCGCCCCGTGCCACGCCTCTCGCTTGGCCAAAAAGTCGGCTAAGCATATTGGCCTAAAATTGCCAGCCTGCCATTGTGCTGCTAAGCTAATGACCAACAACAACAACACGTTTATAAATAAATACAAAGACAAAAACAAAAACAGGCCAGGCACGAGTCGCCGCGCATTGCAGGCCATTTGCCAATTTGCAAACCGGCCAACGGCTCGACGCGGCTCGCCAAGTTGGCCAACGACAATTTGGCTTTTGATTAGTTCAGTTTTTTTTTTTATTTGTATATATTTCTATTTATGTTCAATTTTATTGTTTCGCTTCGTTTGCCCAATTTGGCAGCCGAGTGAAATGCACGGCGAGGTCAGCCAGCGATTCGTTGATTTAGCCGAATTGCAATTGTGGCCAAGCGGAGGTCGTTTCGCGGCCAGTTTACAGGCAAGACGCGCTGCGAAAGTCGCCAGCAGGAAGTTTGCATAACAGACCTAGCACACACACACACATTCGTTGGGCTTGCCCGAGCAAACATTTGCATTTCCTCTTTAGGCCTGCTCACATTTGTTTGCCGCGACGCTGACGAAAGCCTTGGCCAAACAGCGGCAACAAAAATGAGAGCGGCTCCGTTTGCGAAGTTCGCTTTTGGCTCCGTTTCATTGCCAGGATTTCTACACACATGCCGTGCGGCCCAGAACCAGCCAAGCAGCCAGCCATGGCTAAAACGTTTGTCCTTCAACCAAAGCCGCCAGCTGCCAAAGCTTGCTACCAAAACAAAACGGCTATCGGCTTTTCGCCGATCGGGCGGCCGGTGGGTTGGGTGGTTGGGGGGGGGCTGTGGTGCGATTTCCACAATCAACCAAAGCAACGAAGCATAGTTGCCACCAAATGCGCCAAGCGGCAACAATGCCAGCTAGTCAGAACGTAGTCCGGCGCGATAAAGAAACTTGAGACATGCACGACTCTCCAAATACCCGAACCTGCGCTCAAAAACTTGTTTTTCTTAGACAATTTCCATTTCCATTCTGAATAATTTCCACTTGTTTTATTTAAAGAAATCGACAAAAAATAAAAAAAAATCTAAATGGATAAGAAAAATATTTCTTTAACAAAACTTGACAAACGCCAAAAAATCACCTCAAACTTCAGTAAAATTTCAATTCTCATAAAAAAAAAGCTTTTTCTGATTATCTCGCAATATTTAGCTAGTTCTGCACTTTTGATTCTGAGTTTTTGTGTCTTAACAAATTTTATAAGAACTATTTTACATTTTAAATAAGATCCAAAGGGAAGTCTTCAAAGTGGCTTATTTTCACATTAACGAATATGATTTTTACTCAAATTTGGTTTCGGTTCCAATAAAATATTCGCAGCTACTTTAATTTAGAATAAATATTATTTGAAATATGTTGACCATAAGAATTTCTTAAATGCAATTATGTAAGCACCAACTAAATAAGGTCTATTGGAAGTGAAGTGCGAGTATTTGAAGTTGGACTCAAATGGATAAAGCGGCCACAATTATTGGCCATTGATCTTGGCCATTAGAGGCCCGGTCTTGGCGTGCACGGCTTTTAAGTCTCAGACTCTGACGTGATCGAATGCAAAATGAAAAAATTCGAAAACCAAAAGTAATGAGCATAAAACAAGCTAGAGTGTCTCTAAACGGGCGTGCTCGACTAGCAGCTGCCCTGCGATGGGGGAAGGCACACAAAAATAAAAGTGTGTCCGATTTGTGTGAGCTAAAGGAGAAGTCACAAACCAAGTTTGGTGTAGGCAGCTTTCATAGTTCTCGAGATATGCTTAAAAAGGCAAGTCTCAAAATCGATATTTATCGGAGCTAAGTAAATGTTAAGGAATTTATCGATAAAACAAACTTGTTGTAAGCTCGTTATCCCCGCCAATAATATGTTTTCCCTTTGAGATTCTTTAAGGGACATCAATAAAGAGATCGTCGATTCTTGCTTCTGCCTGTTACATGCCTGGCCACGAAACAAGCATACCCTCACTGTTCACTCTCAATGTGTTACGACTGTAAAAAAAAACGTTTAAGTTCAGAATAAAAGCCAGTTAAAGTGAATGAATGAATGTGGCTGCGAGCTGAATGAATAGCTGAATAGGCGCATGCAGCTGCGGTTAGCGGGTACAAAAATAAATCAATCTTATTGTAGAATCAAATGTTAAAGAGTTAAACTTTTAATCATATAATAATTTGATTCATTTTTTATTACCCATTTTTAGTCACACGCAGTGAAACTTTGAAAGCAACTAACCGAACGGAAACGAAACAGAAATGTTGCCGTTGTTGTTTTCTTTCTTTCGTTTCTTTCGCTTCGTCTTGACGCCGCTTTTTTTTTTTCTTCTTCTCTTTTTGTGTTAATTGATTGCATAACCGGCAGAAAGAGTGCCAGCTCACTTGTACAACACTCTCACACACACAGTTGGTCATTCACTCGCGCATTCAGTCAGTCAGTTGGTCAGTTGGTCACTCACTTAGTCTGTGTGTGTGTGTGGGGGGCGGTTAAAAAAAGGGGGCGTGCTGCACAGTCGCTGGCGCAACCAAGCCAAAAACTTGGAAAAAGCAACCAAAAGCCAGTAACTAGTCGCACAACATTTATTCATAATTTTCATGTTGTATTTGTTGTTGCAGCTGCTGCGAGTTGCATGTGCAGCTGATTGCAAGCAGTGCACACGGCAAGCAGTGCTACTTTTACCAGGTGCCTGGTAAAGTTCATGTTTGCGTTTAAACAGGCTCTTAATGCTGGATTTTACTTTGTTGCCAAAGGCTTTAAGCAAAAGTAAGCTATTCTTGAATTGCATCTGCTTGCCCAAAAGCTAGCTTTATTTTGATGTTAAATTTTATGTAAGCTGACAAGCACGCCAATTGCATTTGACATCTGGGCTCCAGTCAGCGCAAGATGAGGCAACCTCATCGAACGACTGCTCGAATTTGCCAGCTAAACTTCGCTGCCTGTCAATGTTCATGTTAGCTGACAGGCAGTGAAATCCATGCACTCTGCCGTGCAACAAAATGTTAAATTTGGCAACGCCATGACCTTCAGTTGATCGGTTAAAGCCATATTGAATATGTTTTATGGTTTGTGTGCCTTAGCGCTGCCAGATGTTGTCAGAACCAGGTGGCAACACTGGCATGACCATCCTATCAGGTACAGTCAACAAACAGTTAGATGAACTGCCCACTCAACTTTGACAAGACAGAACATGAGCGTAACGAAATCAAGTTAGACAGCTTGTTTGAGTGTTGGTTAACTTTTTGGACAGGAGTGAACGGTGGGCCTTAATACATTATATGCAGTATTGCATTATGCGGCAATATCCAATTACCGTACCGTAAGGGGCCATTGTTCAAGCTGACACGGGGTGCTGACATAATGACCAAACAATTTGCCAAAAAATAACTACAACAATAACAAAACCGAATCGAACCGAACCGAAAACTGAGCGAACTACAAATCAAAATCCAAAAGCACAATTGAGTTGTTTCAAGTTGTTGTTGTTGTTGTTGCTGTTGTTGTTGTTGTTGCTGCTGCTGCTGCAGTTGCAAGTTGTTGTGGTCGGGCAAGAACTAATTGCGACCTTGGCGTCGACAGCCCGCGGTGCATGCATATTCGAACTATGTAGATCCGAGACTCGAAATGTTGAGAATGCGCCGCGGCAAACGGCACGTTCACATGCAGCGCTCACTTCTCCAAAACCAAAGCAACAACAACACAAACAACAACAACCAACACGAAACAAGTGAATATATGAATATATGAAAAGCTATCGATGCATTTCATATGCATACAACTTAATCGAAAATGATTTGGCACTTTGCCTGATCGCTCAGATAATGGATAATGTTCGCCAGTTTTATGGATTGCCCAATAAATGCTCAACAAATTGTATTTATGCGCCATATAGGGCGTTAAGATATGATAAAACAAGTTGGAGCGCGCTCCAGTCGAGCCGGCCCGACTAGCAGATGCCCTCAACTCCAGCTCTTTCGAGGAGTTGATTCAACGATGTGACACGAACTCAGGAAAGTACAGACCAAGATATCGAAACGAAAAGAGAATCTGAATCTAATCGAGTCTCTAGCATCTTTCAGTTTCCGTATTCGACTCAGTATTTCATCCAGATCAAGAATATATATATATATATAAAAATACTTAACAGGGTCGCAGTAGCACAGTAAAATATAAAAATAAAATTTATGAAGCTAATAGCCTGAAATGAATCCACTTTTGAGTATTTCAGCTTATTCTACTTCTAGTTTATTATTATCCATTTTAATCTTCTCTCTTAACTGTTCCCACACATTTTCAGAAAGATAACTGAATTTTATGATCCCAGGAAATGCTTGTGACAAGCTGGCTTTTTGCAGGAACTTAAAATATATATATTTTAAGAAGTACTCAGATAAGTTTATCTTAGCTTTGATAGCAAGCCCATATCGCAATTATTTTTACTTAATATAGTTGTTTTTTTATGTATTTTAGCAAAGTTCCTACGATAATTTCCATCGTAACTAATCCAACTAATCGACTGTTCCCAATTTTTATCGCAACTAACCCAGCGTATCGACTGTTCCCAATTTCTATACTAAATAAACCAACTCAACGATTGTGCACAGTTTCCAACGTAAACTAATGCAACTTATCTACTGTTCCCATTTGGCAATGTATCAACCTCAGCTTATTATCGACTGTTCCCAGTTATAATCGTACCCAAAACCAAACTTATCTACTGTGCTACTCACTTTTCACAGCCCACATTTTGGAATCGGTCAGGCCGTGCAGATAGCTGCGCATGTCCTTCGTGCAGTTGACGCTCAGCATTCGTGTGGCTTCGAGGCGTGGCCACTGCGACGCAAGCAGCGACAGATCGAACACGTTGAGCGCATCGCGCAGTCGCTGCGTGCGCGTCAGATCAAAGCTGATGTCGGCGTCGCTGCGGCTGCTGCTGTCGCTGCTTCTGTTGTTGTTGTTGTTTTCCGTGTGCAGGCTCAAATTGATGACATTGTGCTGATCGGCGCTGATGATGGGCGAGGACTTGTTGTCCTTGTTCTCCCTGTTGTCGATGGCCGCCTGCGCGACAGTCGCTGCCAACGCCAGCAGCAGCAGCATCACCAGCTGCGGCCGCAGCGCGCGTTGTACGCGCATGATTTAAATAAGGCGAAAAAAAAAAAATAAAATAAAATAAAATATCCCACAAATTGATGGGGCACGTTCGACGCGTCGCTTGCCCTGCTTCACTTTCACTCAAAATACACAAAAAAAAATATCGAAAAAAAAAAATAACAATAAATTGTGCGTGTGTGCATAAACGATTCCAAAAATCTATATGAAAAGTTCCAAAATGTGTGTCGTTTGCTTTTCGTTTTATTTATTTATTTATTCTTTTTTTTTTTATTATTATTTTAGTTAAATTTCTTTGTGAACACTTTATTTAAATCATTTTCACAGCGAGCCAAAGCGAAAAATAAGACATTTAATTATCACACATAAAAAAAACTCTTCGTTTCTTTTCTTTCTCTTCCTCTCTTTCGGGGCGCCAGTTGTGTAATAAGCGCTGCTCGAGCGCTGCTTAGCTTTTTTAACCGTTAGAATATCTTAGTTTGTTTTCCTTGTCGTATATTTCGTATTTCTTTATTTTTTTTTTGGTTGTTTTTTTTTTTCTTCTTTTTTCGTCACTTTTACTTTCGTTGCGCGATCGCGAGGCCAGTAAGCGATAGGGGGGGGTAGCCGGGTGCTGTAGTTTGGCGGGGCACGATGGCGGTGTGTGTAGTTAGCTGGGAGCTGCGACAAGCGACGACCGCTTGGCATGAACGCACGTCAACGAATTGCGGCTGCGCGTCTTGGCCAGCTGTAAAAATATGCTAACAATTTCAAAAACGCAGCCGAAAAAGTCGCAGCAGCAGCAGCGCCACTAGCAGGCGGCGGCAGCAGCAGCAGCAGCAGCGGCAGCACGAGAGTCCAAAAGCAACAGCTGCAAAAATCTCAGCAGCATAGGCTCAGGCTCACACACACCAAAACACACACACGCACACACACAGTCAGCGTCAGCGTCAACGTCGGCGTCTTAACTGCGACTCAAGCTCAAGCGCAAACAGCTTGAAAGCGCAAGTGAGCGCAGGTAGTGCAAAATTTTTACCGTTAGCTTGGGCAAGCGCAACGAAAGTGCTGCAGCAGAGACACACACACACACACACACCGCACACATAAAAGAAATGAATAGGAGAGCCAAGCTAGCGAGTGAGAGCGAGAGTGAGGCAGAGCACAAAGCAGAAGAGAGCGCTTACGATCGCTGCCGCTGCCGCTGCTACTGCTGCTGCTGCTGCTGCTGCTGCTGGACAGTGGAAGAAAAAAGCCCTGCGTCATCGGCGATGTTGTAATAAGCATTTTGTTAACAAACGTATGTCGTTGTCGCTATTGTTGTTGTTGTTGTTGTTGTTTTATGTTATGCTGCTGTTGCAAAAGTTGGCCGCAAAAAACAAATGGGAAAGAAAAAAAAAAGAAAGAGAAGAGCCAAAAGAGCTACAATCAAAAACTATGGGAGAATGAATAAATTGGCGACTATGTGAATAACTAAGTGAATCAATTAAAGGATTTGGGTAAAAGTGCATAAAGGCAACGAAAATGAATACGAATAAGAGCTGAAATGTTAGGTCAAATGATTCGTTTCACTAAAAAGTGAATAAGTGGGATAAAGCAAAAGTGCATTAATACGAATCGAATATTAATGATGTATTCACAAACGAATTACTTTATTTCTCAATTAAAGAATGATGAATCAAAGTAATGAATAAATGTGAAGAAATGAATAAATTAGTGTGAATGAATGAATGAATGCAGATGAATGCATTTAAATATGAGTTGAAGAAGGTGGAATGAGCTAACTTTTTGTGAATAAAAAGAAAGAAGAAACAATCGAAAACTAGAAAAGTCAGGTTATTTGAATGAGTATGTAACTCATTCAGTCAAGCAAAAAGTAAATGAATGCTCTGTATTAAGTTTGAGTTGGCCATGCAAATGAATAATCTTAACGGGAATATTATAAAAAAGCTTTAGAAAAAGTATTGAATCAATGAATCAATTAAATGTTGTGTGAATAATATTATTCAAAGTAAATGAATCAGACAGTTTAAGCATTCAATTTCAATATGAAAATAAAACATTACAAATCAACAACTGAATAGGTGAATAATACGAGTGAATAATGAATAAGCTAAACAAGAGAAGCACGAATATGAAATGAATAACAGTACATTACTCAAATATTGCTCAAACAATCAACAAGTATTCATACGAATAAAATAATTGAGTGAATGAATCAATTGACAACGGCATGAATAGCCAAGCTACTCAAACTAAACAAATGATTTCAATCAAAAAATTAACTAAATTTAAGCGATTCTAATAAAAATAAATATTCACAAATCACATCAATCATGCAAAGAGGTTTATTCATGAATTCATTCAACACGAATACCGTGACAAATGAATATGCTGCTAATTAAGGCGCTTAAGTAAACATTGCGATCATTAATCTAATCTAAAATCAAGGCGGGGGGTCTTCAGATTTGCATGAATGCACTCACATTGATTCACATTTGATTCACACAGCATTCACAGGCGCAGGAACGAGATTTGCCAGCGAATTGTGGCAACTGTTTGCGGTTGACCCGTTTACACACACACACACACACACACACACACACACACACACACACACACACACACACACACACCTGCGCCTGATCGTGTTGCAGTCGCAGCTTCAGGCTCGACTTGGGCCAAAAATCCCAATCCCAGCTCCCAATTCGGGGCGAAGTTGTAAACAGACAACAACAACAACAACAACAACTTGAACAACGACAAGTTATCTGTTGTTCCATTGTGTTGTTATTGTTTCTCTTCCCCCTCTTCCAGCCCACGCTCTCCCTCTCGCTCTCGCTCTCCCTCTCGCTCTCGCTCTCCCTCTCGCTCTTACTCCCGCGTTCGTTGTTTCTCGCTTTCGGCCGAAAACCCATTGTGCAATATTCGAAAACAAATCCCCAAATGTCGTGCAATGCTTTTTCAATTTTCCAAATAGGCAACATGAAAAGTTGGGAAAATACGTTTTAGCCACACAATGCGCAGCTTTAGCTTTACCGTTAGCGTAGACCGAAATCGAAAACCAGTTCTTAAAGATCTCAAAACAAAAATAAAGGCAAAAAAAAAAAAAGCTGCCAAAAACTGCAGGCATGACTGGAATTCTCCATAATTATGTGCCTGACTGTGCGAGTGTGTGTGCGAGTGTGTTTGTGTGTGTGTGTGTGTGTGTGTGCTAAGGGCGAACAAAATGCATTTTTCGGAAGATGTGACCAGAAGCAGAAGCAAATCGAAACAGAATTCGGTGACTGGCGGCTCGTAATTGGAAACCGGTTTCTCATTCGAGTCGTGAGTTGGGTTAGGGTGCGGCGAAGGGGGTCGGGGGTGGTAACTGGCGAGGGGAGCTGCTCTGATGAAGATTGACACAATTCGAAAATCAAGCAACAAGAAAAAGAAGAAGCAGACTTACAAAAGTGTGTACACACCCCGCCAAGTAAATAAATATGTATATATTCAAGCTCTATCATTGGGAAGATAATGCGAAGATAATGCGGCGATACGAAAAGACGGCAAAAGATCTATATAGGATAAAATCTCTCTGAATGGAGAGCTTGCTTGGGTGATCAATGAATGATAAAAACATATCTTAACTTTTCTTAAAAATTGAAAATGATAATAGAAATAATAATAATAATAATAATAATAATAATAATAATAATAATAATAATAAAATTAATAATAATGATAAGATATAGATAATAATGATAATAACAATAGTAATACTAATAATAATATAAAGGATAATAAAAATAATAAAAAATATGTATAATAGCAATAATAGAAAATTAATATTAGTAATGATAAGAACAATGAAGAGAAGGTTGGAATATCTTGTGTGCATCGTTGTTGTTAAGATTTGGCCTATATATGAAGATGATGATGGAACAAATAAAATGTTTTCCATATTGGATACAATTTTTTGGCTTTCTTTAGCTTTAAGACTGAGCGATTAGTTTGATGTCAATCTCTTAGCGAGTCGCCTTATGTTAGGGCGATATCATAAATTTGATGATAACTATCGCTAATGTATCTTCCAGGCGACAGTTTGTCTAATGTATCTGCCTATTGACTATTGTCGCCAGACGTTCTCATGGAAGATACGAAAGCGATAGATAGGCGATATACCTGAATAATTATATCAATATATATTCCAATTATAATACTAAGAAATCTGAAAGCTGAGCGAACGAGACGCTTAGAAGGAGATGACAGGACTAGGAGAGAGAGAGAGAGTGAGAAAGAGAGCAAAAAGAGATCCAGAGCAGGGGGCAAATGATATCAGAGAAAAACATGTGTAGAGACATGTGTTATGAGGTTAGGGCAACGGCGGGCGGTTCACGGCTTGTTCGTACGCATATTCATATGTAAGTATTCATATTCGTTTATTGGTATTCGTATTCGTATTCGTATTCGTATTGTAATGCTGTCAGCAGAAACCTGTCGCTGGGTCGGCACGGCCCGGTCTCATATTTTAATGAGAAAAGTGAAAGTGTCAAGAAACAAAATAAAAACCAAAAGCCCGAACAACAGCTAAAATTCAACTTAACAGTGAATAAATAATAAAGTGCTACTAAAGCCCAAATACAAATACAAATACGAATACGAATACGAATACAAATATGTATGCAAATACGAATACACGAAAATACGAACACGCAGCTAGGGCCGCTGGAATTTAGCGTAATCGGAATGGGGAATCGCTGACAATGGCATTAAATTCACCAAAATGTGTGAAAATCAAATTTCAAATGTGACATTCGAAAACGTCGCGTGTTGCGGCACTTTTGCAACACTGTCCGGCTGCAAGCAGTGCTGTCAGTTGATTGATGTTTTGTAGGTCAAGTTGAAAGTCTATCAGTTTATCGATTACATATGCAAGTTTCCTTCAGAATTCGATTACCTCATCGATTACAATTGTAACATCGTTGTTTTATGTTTGGGTTCAATAGTCAATCAATTTATCGATAGCTAGTTCGTAATTCGATAACAGAAATAACGAGAGAAACGCTTGGCCGGCATATTGCTGTACTTACTCATGCCAAAAGGTGTGAAGATCGACTTTCATCTACAAATGTTCAACGGAAGTAAAGTACACGTCATCAACTTATCGATAGCTTAATCGATAAGCAGAGCAACATCTTGTCATTGCCAAAATTAGAGATAAACAATGTTGCGGCACTTTTGCAACACAGCTCGCTTGCAAGCAGTGCTGTAAGTTGGTTTATGACGAGCGCGTGTAAATGA